TATATATATGTTGAAATTGTTTAATTTTGTGAGCTCAAGCAAAAGGATTCGCAAAACAGCGGACATGAGCATATTTCTAAACGTAGAAAAATAAGAAGGGTTGTGTCAGGGGAAGCGTCTGGTGTAAGAATGATGATTTCAAGTCAAACATTCCAAGTTTCGATCTAACAGATAAATGCATAAATAACACTTCCTACGACATAGTAATTCCCGATGATCATGAATTAGTCAAGTTCACCATCAGGTTTCGGTGAATATTGTCAAGGTCTAAGTTGTTCAATAAGAATACTCAAAAAATTCAAAAGTATGAGGAATGTGTTTTCAGCACGAGTTACAAAAATGCTTCAATTAAGCAATCTCAGTCAGTATTTTCATTCAGCGATTCGAGTTTGAATATGGAAGTTAACAAGAGATGGAATCATCGTCATTCGTCTCGTTCCTTGTAAATATGCATTATTGAATCATGGAATAGCTTCGATGTTATTTTCAGGTTCTTCCTTTTGTATGTTACAGCGATGTGAACGTAATGAGGTAAATTTGGTTTAGCGATACTAACGCTAATTGAATAGAAGGTGCTTTTGTAGCAGTTCGAACGAGAATTGAATGCAAAGTTTTTTTTTAAAGGAGAATTGATATAAGCCATAGCAAAGATTGAATGCGACAGTACTTGATAATAACGACAGCAAGACTGAAACTTAAAAAGAATAGGATAAGCTGAGCTAACAAAGATTACAAAAACAACAAGGGTCAAAAAATACTCAGACCTTTTTTGCCCCGTGGACCCCTAGAAAATTTTAAGGTGCCCTCGGAATATTTTTTTGAGAAGCTGAAACAAAACAAAGCGAAGATATTCCGAAAGGGGAAAGTGGGCAGCAGAAGGCTGAGTTCGCAACCCGTGGTGCCTCGCCTACTTCAATGGATAAAGAATGAAGCCTCATCTCGACTCCCTCTCGCACATCTTATCGCACTCTCTCTCAGACCCCCTGGAATACCGTCTTGGACCCACGGTTGGGAAGCCCTGCTTTAGTGCCTTTGGAATGTGATGTTGTATGTGCATCCTCAATGTACAAGTCATGTTTTCAAGTACGTATCAATCATTTCGTCGCATCGACTGTAAACTCTCTTAGGTTCTGTATCAGCTTTCTAATTTATTCTCGCTCTATAATGCAGGTATCTCAAACGAGTTGTTATTTTCTCACACATTATAAATGATACCATTGATGCAATAAAGGAGTTTTTATGTTAAGATGGATTTATACTTGATTAATTTCATATTTCTATAAAATTGGAAAATAGATTTAATACCAGCTACAATACTGTAGGAATATCAAAAGTTCCATATTCAACCTATAATGAACCTCATTCTTGCCTGCAACATAATTGTTTCTTGGTACAGGCGGATAGAATAGGTTCTGTGCGGTCGATAAACTTTATGTGATGTTGAAGGATTCGGCTTACCTTCAGAGACAGAGTAATGTATTTGTCGGAATGACGGAAAGATTTGATAGCTTAACTCAGCCAATGTGATCTAGGTATTTCTTCTCAAAGTCTCGGTTTCTGATCCTCATGGTACGTTTATAGGGATCAGTGATTTTTGCTAAGTTTTGATTTGATTGCACTGGTATTTTTATCGAACCTTGTCACCTCATCAGAATGTACATACGAGGTGAAGGATTTCTAAATTTTATTGCATGATTCGCAAGGGCGATGCTTTCATCCACTACGGAAAGGAGATGTAATTGGTTAAGCAATCCCTGAATAGTCAAGGAATTTGAATCTCTCATTACTAACTTTGGCTGCGGTAATCATCCTGACGGCAGTAATTCACCATCAATTTCACTTCCGTCCCCATGATTGCTTTCGCAAGAAAATAAGTACGAAACGGCATATAATTCTCAATATCCATAACATGGGTTACTGCTGGCCTCATCGGAGCTGATTTCATTCTATTCATGTTAGCATGGAGGGGGTCGACGAAGTGGCTCTTCATTTGAACATCATTCTGTTATCATCATGGGAATTTTTTGATGAGTGAATTCCATATGAATGAAATCTCACATTTCCAATAAGTCTCGAAAAGATTTTGCCAAATTTTCGACAGTTCATTACGACACAGATCAGCAGCGCGATTCTGAAGGAAAGTTTGGAAGTAGCGACTAGCGGACTAATTTTACTAGGGAGCGTTTCAGTGAAAACAACCGTTATTTTCCGAAGCGGCGATATATATTCCCCGACTTTTCGTCAGCCACAATACTAGGGAATTATTTTTGGTGTACATAACATATTTTTTTAGCAAAATAGCAGTTAACGTATCAACTTTTTTTCAGTGGCATGCTCATCACTGGTTATTACAACTGACGGTTATTATCATTTACTGATGTTACTATGAATATTCGCACACCCCATGCGACATGTATTTGTGTTAATGCATATCCTTATATAAGAAATACTTAGATGAACAACAATATTCTTTAAAATTTGGATATGAATTGTTCATTCATAATTAACAACTATTATGCGTTGTCGCGAAGCGTTCCAAAAACACACACAAGTACTTATCTCGGAAAATGCAAAGTTAACGAAAGAAAGAGATCAGACGAAACATTCCGTTTACTCCAATCATCATTACAACGAAATCAAGCACCAATATGCGTCCTTCATAATAGTGTTCGTTGCAGCTGTTGTAAAAGAAACTCACAAACAGTCTAATACAAGTGCGGCAGCATCATTTCCCATTTAAACCAAACCACTTACATTCATTCTCATATGTGGCGACATGAATATTGGAGCGTTTTTTGTGGTGAGGATGGGAAAGACAAAGATTCGTTCATTTGAATATTATTTGATTGAATAGGGTACGTTCATTACGATTACGATAAGATATTGTGCCATAATGATAATGAACTTGCAGGGTGAGTATTTGAACGGAAATAGGAAAATCAATTTGCTTAATGAATACTTGGTGGCCTCTACAAGTTTCACCTTTATTTCTCAACGGAACTGAGAGATATGTGTAAAATGCAAGTTTTATAATAACGGTTTGAAATATGACGACATCAAACAGTTTCTTAAGCAGTGCTTCTTAACCAGGTGGTCAATTATCGCCTGGGGTAAATTTTGAGTGCCGGGAGGGTAACTGAGGTGGTCAGCAAACTAATCTTTCGTGCAGTTGTTATGTTATGATGGAACGCCATTGTTGTCGTGAATTACGCTGACTCAAACACGTATTGTACGGGAATGAGGCGAATCGCGGAGCAGCCTTTCATTGCAGACAGCGGAATGATTTGAACCTAAAAGGAAAAAGCGACAACAGTTCAATGATAACAACAATTATGATATTAACGGTCACAATCACACAACAGCATAGGACCATCTGTAGGGCTAATCAGAGCATTTGGTATCCAGTTACAGTTGTGGCAAAGGACATATTAATAAACTATATGTGTTTATAATAACGATTACTTATCGTGTATAAAAATGAGTATGTCANATTTGTTTACGTTATGCAATTGTTATGTATTTCAGAATTTAGGGTCCAAAGGTTACTTCTGCAAGTATCTTCTTACAGTTGAATATTTTGCAAACTTATTATAATTTTAATATATTGAATAATTAAACTGCGATGATGAGGTATCATATTGTTCGGTAGGTTGAACCCTTTCGTGACCGGACAATCTCCCAGAGACGCTTTGCCTAACGACAATTTTCTAAAGACACATGGCTTAACGGACGATTGGTCTAATGGACATTTTGCCTATCACAGTTTGCTTAATGGGAGTTTTCTTTAATGTCATTTTGCCTAATGGACGTGCGAGATTGTTAGACGCACCCGTTCAAAACATGTTGGGAATGTTCATCTCGTGGCTACTATTGGAACACCTGTACATATCAACGTTGGTGATTTTGATGGCTGTAATCAAAGTCAAGTTTTGGCCAATGAAGTTACCGAGAGCAAACAACGCGTCTAGTTCATCTTTATCACCGGTGATGGACAGCGTATCCTTCAAGCAACTATGTTTGGATTCATACACAACACATTTCCCATAGGAATAAAAGATGTTATTTATTATTAATTATGCATGTCAGAATACATGAAGCGATTTGGAGGAAGCAATGTTTTAGGGGAGTAGATTCCAGGCTCTTACGACTCTGTGTGCGAAGGAGAGTTTTGCACTGTTTAGTTGGCGGCGGTTGACAGCGAGTTGAAAGGAATTGTTATGATGGGTTCGTTCAGTGCTTGAGGAATATTCGAAGAATTCATTGATGGGGAAATAGGCCTGATGTCGAATGATGTTGTAGGCCATACAGAGGTCGGTATAAAATCTTCGCAGTTCTGAACTTGCTTATCCTAATATTGTTGTAACTGTGTTCACCCATTTCTAGAATACTCCTCGTCCCTCTGGTCTCCTCGTGATCCATGCAAGGACAAACAGGACGTTAATATAATTGAAAATGTTCAAAGAAGATACACCCGTTTCATCTTCAAGAGACATTGTAGAGATGTGTATGAAACCAAACATAGTTGCTTGAGGGAGACTGCTGAAGCAAGCTGTCCATCACCGGTGATAAAGATGAACTAGACGCGTTGTTTGCTCTTGGTAACTTCATTGGTCAAAACTTGACTTTGATTGAAGCCATCAAAATCACCAACGTTGATATGTACAGGTGCTCTAATGATAGCCACGAGATGAACATTCCCAAAACCTTTCAGAGTTGCGAGATTCGTCGCAACAGTTGTGACAGATCTTTTCACTTGGATACTTGAACGCGGTTCGTTCATGGCAACACTCTTCCTTATGCTATTTTCTGAGTTTCTTAAGCTCGTCTAGGCCTGAAAAATCAGTTTGAAGTTGTCACAAAGATTTCTTACATTCTTCAGTATTTTAGCTGACCTCGTCTTTCATGATTGGTAGGATTTGATTGGTGCAATCGAAAAGATCATTGATTGCGAAGAGCAAGTATTTCTGAATTGATCCGCTATTATTTTCCACTGCACTGAAAGTTTTGTTATGTTTTTTAATTGCTGCATGCAATGAGATTTTTGGTTCGTAAATGAATTTTTTTGAACGAAGTAGCTATTCAATTGTGTCATAAGTATCATTTAGATATCTGCTATGTTGCCGGATTCTAGATTAAAAATAGTTTTCATGTTAATGAATGAGATAGATACCTAGGCAAGTTGTTGCTTTCAACCGTCTTCTAAGATTGCATTTGTGCGACCAGTAACTTCTTGTAGTGGGGGCAATGACGGCCTGCCAGACCTTCGAAGGGGAAATGGATTTCCTCAGCTTTGAGAACTGCTGTTCTTTACGAACGAGACATATGGTTTGCAATGTAAGAATTGTTACCGAATGTAGTGGGAGTCTGACATGTTCTTGTAATGACAATCGTTTTGAAGTATTGCACTTGTGTGACAACAATGGTCATATTCAAATGTGTTGCGATAAAATGTGGTGCCATCTGAACAGGTCTGCTCAATTCTCGTTTCATCTTGCAAAGCGAGTGTGTAAAGGATCGTTCGAACAAGAAGTGTATGGTTTGTATTTGATGATTGCTCAATAATACGTTGCATAGAACAGACGAACGACAACCTTGATTGCGTTTCAGCTCGCCTTTAATCGTTATCAACGCGTTTCTGTCACGCAATCGCTCTCTGTTCTATTCAAAAATTCGAATTCCTATCCGCTCATTCCAGTCTTCTTTACTACCAATTTATCCAGAAATAATTTGTGTTTTAGCGTTTCGGGCTCCTGTAACGCTTGCTAACTTGAAGAATAAAATGGATGAAGAATTGCAAACAATCAAAGTTAATGTGAAAGGAAAGGATGGCCAACTATTGGAACTAAAAGCCACAGTTCAGGTAGGTTTCACAACTTTAACGTATTCCGTGGATTGTTGAAACCAAAATTATCGCATAAGTATCATTAGTGCTGATTAGGTGCCTTAGAAAGTTAGACTATCTTCAGGACAGCTTTCCAGATGGCTCAAATGTTGGTACAGTTATTGCATTCCATGGAGTTCCTGGATCGCATAACGATTTCAAAATTCTAAAATCTCACTTACAAGAGAAAGGCGTCCGTCTGGTTGTTGCAAACTTTCCAGGATTTGGATATACACCAGGTTCGTCAATTTTACACCTCAAAACATTTCGTCGAAACTTTCATTCGGCTTAGCTGACTGTGAAATGTTTACTCATTATTCTTGTTTACTGAATTCATTGAAAATGCATTTCTTATCAAAGTTTCCTTAACTTCCTATGTAAGATCATATGAAAAACTATTGTAAGTTCCTTTCATAATTCATACAAATTCAAAGTGGTTTATTGATTGAAAATTTTCTAGCCTTCCTTTTTTGAAATATAATATCGGAAGTTCCAGAGAACGTCTCTTGAAAGGTTATAATATTTGTAGGTGATGATGGCTTGGCTTGCAGTGGTGATGAAATGGTTCAATTTGCCGATGAAATTTTTAAGCGTATCGAACCAAAAGGAAAATTAATTTTTTTGGGTCATAGTCGTGGGTCAGAAGTGGCTCTACGCATGAGTGCATTATATGAGGTGCTAATAAATTGCATTTTTGTGGATAAGTTGATAATAATTTATGAAGTTGTTCGTACTTTTTGCTTTCGATAGTCATCCAAATGCAATACGAACGAAAGTTTTTGAAGAATCAAACAACCGCTATGGTACTCGTGAATCCAATCGGTCTTTCGGCACATCACGGAGTCAGGCCACGCTTTGTCTCAAGTTTTTTGGCTTGGCTTTGGATTGTAGGCAGTAGCATTCGCTTTTTGCTGAGACCTATGCTATATTTCTGTATGTTTTTAATCATAACCCTTTCAGTATATTCTTTTAAAATTGATTCAATTGAAGCTTTCTCGTTTCTTTCAAAGATTTTATGCCTCCTTCAGAAACGAATTTTTTTTAAAACCATTATCGAATAAACTTCAGTTTTCACGAAAATATTATGTATGAAGATCAAGAATGGTGACGTTGGTGCTACGACAGTGAAATCTGTTTCGATGGTTCAGTTCTCAAATCAGTTACAATACATTCAACAGTTGAACAACAGCCATCTACAGGTCATAGATCGTATTTCGAATTCAAGTAGTATATTACGTTCGAACATTGTTGCAGACAAAACAATCCAATCAGTTGATTTCGCTCTCTACCGCAATCATGTCACTCACAAGTATAGTAATTCATATGAGAAACATTCAGCAAACAATACGGCTCACTCCAGTCACGATTATGTGATGACTTTGGAATCGTACCATTTACAAGATACCAAAGCTCACTGATCACGATAATAATCCTAATCAACTGGGACTGAGTTGCTGTTACCATAGAGTTAATGAGGGCTGAGAAGAATGAAGTCAGAGACTTTCAGATGCTGATTGTCTACTCTGGACGTGACCGTATAATTGAGCAATCAATTAGCGATGATCTTGTGCAGAAATTCGATAGCATGGAGCGCATGGTAGGTCCTGCGATTTTCGATTAAGCACCATAAATATTCACGTCATGAAGTTTTAATTCATCGTCTTGATCGAGGTATCATTGCGATAGCGATTTTAGGCGTATTTTCAACCGAGTGACGTGATTAATGAGTTTTCTGTTTTAAAAAAGTGTATTACTGAAATGTGAATTTATAGTATTTGAACATTGAGGGACATTGAAGACTGACTGATGAGTTGATTAAGAATTAGATAGAATTATTTTGAGCTTATCAACTTCAATGTGTTATTGTCAAAAGTTTATAGATTTCTGAAGCGAAAACTGCTGAACCATCTATGTGTGAGCAATATTCCCAAAAGCTGAGTGCTGGTTCACGAAAAATAGCAGTTTGCTTCTCGAAAGAAGGACATCAACTGCAACGAAATCAGGCCCAATTTTTGTCAGATGCAATTATGGACATGTTCGAGAATGCTGCCAGACAATCATAATATCTAATTTTCATGCAACGATTGACTGAACATGGTTCGTTAGCAGCATTCAGAGATGACTCGATTGCTCATTGCATCAGTTTGTGATGGGTTGTTCCAGTTGTTGTTGTTCCAACGCTCGGATGTTCCATTACCCCCCTTTGATGGCTTGAAAGGCCGTCATTAACTCCCCCCTTCCCGCTACAATAATTTACTGTTTCTACGCACAACATCAGAAATAATTTCCCGATCCCCTCCATTACCCTTTGATACCCCCAAATTGCCTAAAAATAGGTAATTTCCCTCTCCCCGTATGAGGTTCCCAGTTATAAACAGTAACGAATATCTGAATGCATCGGCCTGCTTGACGGCTTTTGCTGTTCAGTTTTTCATTGTCATAATTACTGGTGATTCATGAAAACGCAATTCGTTTTCAATCCTTTAATTTTGTTTCTCGTGCCACCGTATGTGATGATCATTACTGATCAGTTTGTCTGTTCCTGATCTGACTCAAATATTCGCATTTGTATGAAATTGATCGAATTGTTGTTTCTGTTGATCTGTTGTTGGTTTTTTCGCAATTTCTGCTAATTTTTATTTGATGTGCAAAAAATGCTGCAATTGAAAACTCATTCGAGAAACAACGCAAAATCATTCGCGTGCATTCCATTTTGTGTTTGCATAAAATTTATTACACTTCATCATTTAAAATTTTTCTCACTTTTTACCAAACGAATTCATAAGCGAACAGCATAGATCCATTTCATCATTCATTCGTCAATGTGTTGTTCAGCCATTATAATTCGTTCGTTCATTAGTCAAATGAAATTTCAATTTGTGCCTTAACTTTTTCATGCGTCCTTTGTCGTTTTCACGAGATGGCGCATCTACTAACCGACATTACTGAAATCAGCACTTGTAAAGTTCAGTTAAGAGCTAATAACTGGTTACCATAGTATTTTTCTAACCGTACTGAGTGTTGAGTGCATAAGTAGCATGTCGTTCTAATAAATACTTTCTGTTCGCCGATCGCATGCTTGAAGTCAGCGTTGCAGCATATTATTTATGTGTTCTGGATAGCAATCGAATGGTCACAATCATATTGTCATCTCAAATTATTGAATGATTCAGACATAAAAAAGAACTCAGTTCGACTGCATTTTGCGTTTTTTGCCTTCATCCATTCTTTATGAACGTTTTTTCTGTTCCCGTCTGTTTGAAGGTAGCAAAACATTTTTTTTCACTGTTGTTCATTCAAATTCAACTTGATATCGGCCATAATCACTCGCCAATTCCCTACGCTTCCATCGAGGCATTTATCAAAATCATTTTCACTCAGTTATGCGAAAGTACTTCGAATGTCATTCTGATGATGCTCGCTGGATGATGTACTTGCGTAATGCCCTCAAGATTTTTGTTGTCATTCATTATTCCTAATCAAAAGCAGAGCAATGAATTCTCAAGTGGTTCCGATAATGTCTGTTGGACCTGATATTCTTCGTTATGATAATGTGAATGAGCGAATACATTGTGTTCAAAGCCATTATTGAAAGTGCAGGTTTATCTATCCATTATCAACGCTTTTGCATGCAGTCATCGGTTATTTCATATTCCATTAATGCTCGACACGTTCGTTTCTTGTTTTTCCACACTGTTTTCTAATCAGAATCTCGTTTAGCGCACGAGTGCCGTAATGCATGACGTTCGTTCACATCCGCTTGAATGTTCGATGAGGGACAAAATAAATTTACAGCACTCAGCGCTCGCTTTGAGCGGAACAATAGCTTCGATTCTATGTTCACGTCATCGTATCCTTTCGTCTTCAATGCATGACTTGTTCCTCTCGCTTTGAACATTTTCAGTGCAACATCACTCAACTTACTCATTTCACTTCATCACAACTACACACTTCACAATTAATACATAATTTGCTTGCTCGACTCTCACTATATAAAGTATTATTTGTTCATCATTAATAACAATTGCGGCTTGCAATTCAGTTAATTGATTTTCACTCAAATACGTTCAAGGACAAACTATTGCATGCATGTTGAAAGTTCAGTGAGCAGAATATGAGGGCGAATCGTCGGTAATAAATTCACCAGAAAAAGTTTGATATTGTACAGTACTGGTCGCGAACAGTACAAAAAAATCAGCGAGGTCTCGGTAAAGATGTGTTGTGATTTGATTGTGTTGTTACGTTTTAATAAATGAAGGACTCTCTTTTTCGAATGCATTCATTGGAATGTTTTTCTTGAACGAACTACTTCAAATCTCATCGAATGTTATTGGTAATTGATGCGTGTATCGAGATGAATGATTCACCGATTGATTACGAGAGTAATTTTCAATGGAATGGTCAAGGAATGGTCAAACGACAAATGAGACGATAATGACGGTAATAATAGTGTCTTCAAAATGCACCTTTTAATGACAAGTACTTGACTCGCGAAAATCAGCGAAATGTAATCCACATGAATGTACACTATTTTCACATCAGTTTACAGCCGTTCTTCTCATAATTTTCTCATTCATCCATGAAAGCAAAGTTTTCAATAATTCAATGAGAACCTGATTGATCACTTATCCAAAATAGATACCTTTCATTCAATGTGATGTCTGCCCTGAAGCAATGTGGGTAGGCAACTTGTGATTATTAAAACAAGCAAGTGATTGTCGCAAAGAATGCATTGTATCTTTGATGTTCGGTATAACAAGCAGTCTTTATTCAGCAAATTCCCATTTCGTTGAGTGCTCTGCAAAAGAGAGTTCATACAGATTACGATTCTTTCTGTTCATATCTTGCCTGAATATGACTGTACAATTTCATAGTCTTCTAATTAGATTCGTTTGTTGCAAGATCATTATTCCATCAAAATCGAACTTTCAGACTCGATGAAAGTATTCAGAAATTAAAGCAAAAAGCACTGAAAATTTTTAATGAATAATGGTAAATGATATGAAATTAATCCTGCCCAAGCCAACACTTAATTAATCACATCGAAACAATGGAAGCGATAAATGTGAATATTTGTCGCTTCCATTGCTTTTTCTTTCTTATGGTCAATGAAAAGTTGGTTGAAAAGATCGTTAAAAAAATTTCAATAGTTTGAAATTGCTCATTCCTCTAATTTTCATTAAGGCATTCCTTTGAAAGATTCATCAAAACTTTTCAGCGATATCAAGAGATTGTTTTCGCGTAAATTTAATTGCACGGAAAGAATGAATTAATACACTTTGGGTTGAACGTTAATAGTAGTATTCTGCTTCAAAACTGCATCAAAAATGGAGTACTTTCACTGAATGATATTCGTCGGTGAACACTCTTCATCGAGTATAGTTAATTTGTTCGCTCATTTTCATGATTCTCATCTGGTGACGTTGTTGTTTCGCATTATCTTTTGACCTCATTCTTAGAGCAAATGTACGCCTTAACCATGAACAGCAATATTTATGTTCATGCTTCATGGCAATATTTTATGCACAATAAAGCCTAAGCCTTGTCACTGAACAAGATTTTCAAATTTTCTATCCGTTGAACTGCTTCATTCTAGTACATCGATGAGTCACTCAATTCTGTCCGAAATCAATTTGCACGAACAGAATAAAGAACAGAATAAAGCAAAGCAAAGCAAAGTGATCAATCAGAATAAAATCATTTTAGTATGTTTTCAGTTTTGAATGCTCTTCGGTTATCTTGAAAAAATTGTGTCATTAACGCGCGCAATGATTTATTCCATTGATGCGGTCATGGTTGGCGTAAAAATGGGTAACTCATCAGTGGCATAGAGTGCGAAAAAGAAGGTGAAGCAGCCATAGTAAAACAGTTCAGTTGAATGGATCAGCATGACTAGGATTCGTGAGCACACGGCTGATTGCGATTAACACATCACTGTGTTTATGTAATCAATATCATGATTACTTCATGCCCTAATTAATTTAAAAGATTATTATGAATGAATGCACTTCAGTGTATTCGCCATTCAACATGGTTAATATGGATTACCGACAATTCTGTGCAATTAAGCTTATGGTAAGTGAGTGCAGTGCTCTTTCATTTCAACGCTATTTGTTTTTAATAAGATCCATCATTGGTATGTTGGGTATGTTCACTTCATGTCGTCTAATTAAACCAAAAACGTAGTTCTGTGTCTCCGATCGTTCGTAATTAAGGTTCGGAAGGAGCAAAGTAAGTCAANATTGAAATAGTGATTTCTGATTTATGTGTACCCATATAATGCGTTATACCTCATTTCATGCACATTATGATGGTTCTTCCTTCAATGTGTTCATGATAGTGTGAATAAATCAAAAATCATTATTTACTCTGAAATATGTCGAAAGTTCAAACTTCTCATGTATTCAGCGCGTTTTTCTGGAAGCACCTCGAAGCTGAATTAATTTGATTCATAAATATCAATGTGCACGAATGTTCAACACCGAATATTTTTCTTACCTTTTCATAATATCGCCACTGTCAGATAAAGACTACTATATAGTTTTTATCAAATATGATGCATTCGCCTCATTGCTATCGACAGTCCCCACTAGTGTTCAGTCCCTGAGAAACAATTTCGAAACCACAATTCTGTTGCCAATTATTCGTGAGTTGTTAGATTTTTGCTGTTGATCTTTTTATTTTGGGTTCAAACGCCAGCAATTCGGTCAAAATTTATTACTCAGGCATACCTCGACTTCCATCGTAATTATTTTCAGAGACACTGACGTAAGTTGAGCGACGGCAAATGTCGAATAAGGCTCTTGTGAACCGCTATTAACCATTGAGTATCATGTTGGTGATTTTGTGTGAATGATTGAGGAGGCATATTAGGCTCAGTTCATTTCTAAAAATATCACTTCTGTATCGAATGACTTTGCTTCTTTATAAAAAAAATTCTAGTTGAGTTTAGAACAGTCTAGCTCGGTATGGAAAGATCATTCAATGAATCTGATCAATTGTTCAGATCCTACTTTCGCATGTTCAAACGCTACTTTACCCGACTCTCGCTATTTTTGGCTGTTATTCTGATCAATGAATCTTTTTTAAGCTGTTTCATATGGAGAAAATCTTTTCAAATAAATTATCTCGAAACTGGAGCGACGTAACTTCGCAACTGACATAAGTCGAGGCGAACTTGTATAATGTATTAGGCCTGGCAGAAAGGTTCGCGGAATTATGCTTTAAGAGTTCAAGCTTGGTCATTCGAGCAGAAAGGCGACGGCTAACATCAAAAAAGCATTTGGTGAGGGGACCACTTTCAAATCGACTGCTGGGAATTGGTTCAAGAAGTTCGGTGACGGAGAAATGAACTTCGGAGACGACCCGAGGTCGGGTCGCCTCCCAGACTTGAGCAACGACGAATTGAAGGAGGTGATGGAGTCGAACCTCACTCAACCTCAAAAGCAGATGGCAGACAAAGTTGAAGTTACTCGAAGAACTATCTCAACCCAACTACAGCAGATTGGTAAGGTCAAGAAGTTGGATCGGTGGGTTTCACACGAGTTGGACAAAGCGAAGCAATTCCGACCTTTGAAAATTTGTTTTTCGGTGCCGCTCAGAAACAACAATGATCCATTTTTTGATCGAATTTTCGAAAGTGCTGATGAAAAGTGGATTGACTACGATAATCGACGAAGGTCAACTCAATGCCTGGGCGTTGGTGAGCCACCAAAAACGATGCCCAAACCAAAACTGCACCCTCAAAAAATCGTGCTCATCGTTTTCTGGTGATGCATTGATCCATTGGTGGTGTGATCCATTTCGAATTCCTTGAGAGTGAGCAATTAACAATTAACGTCGAATAATACTCTCATAAACTTGAAATTGTAACGGATCAGATGTTGAGAATGAGACCAGCACTGTGGCCCGATCTTTTTGCCATACCACACGAATGATGTTGCAAAAATTCAGCAATTGGATTTCGAGGTCCTGCCTCATACGCCTTACTCTCCAGACCTCTCGCCAAAAAATTATCATCTATTCAAAAACCTGGAACTTTGTTGGCGTGGCAAAAACATCCCTAATCGGACTCTACTAAAACTTAACGTCCGTCGATTTTTGGATTCTAGGGATCCCTGTTTCGATGCTACACGAACGGATGCCCTGGTTTCCCATTGGCAACATTGTGTAGAGGCGAACGTTCGTATTTCGAAGAAACATGCTGACTTTGAGCCGAATTATGAAACTTTAAAATTTCGGGTCTAACTGCCCCACAACTTTTTGCCACACCTAATAATTAATGCCTACTGCACAGCGAAATTCCTATGATTAGTCACATTTTTAGTTGTGAAAGCGAACTGTTGGCTTGCCTAAGTGTCATGATAATGTGGATTGATAATTGCGATGTGGAAATACTGTAGTGACAGTCGATCACACGAAAACTCTCACAAGACTAAATGCGTGAGAAAAATATTCCCAGCTTTACTGCTGCCTATTGACTATAGTAACGTATGATGTTGGCCTGCTTTCAGTAAGTGATCGTATGCATGTGAACATTCACTCCACCTAAGAAAGAAAAACGGAATGCAAAGTGCGCTTGAGTTAGCTATCTTATGGTCTAAAATGATGAACTTCATAGGTTGTAGCAATACTTTTTGTCAACATTTATGCAGTTCAGTTGCATTTTATGAGAATGCCACGTTGTTTGCAATGTGAAAGTTGAATTATGAATGGGAACAGTGTTATCATTAGAACTGCCTCGAAGCTTTTCCTCATTTTACAATTTCTCTTCATCACAACCAATTGTTCATCTCAACAGCTTTCGACGGCACACCATCATAATGGCTCTTTTGCGTTTAAGGAGCAAATTTCATTTATTTAAGGAGCAAATTTCAAAGTAAACTCTTGCGTAGTTTCGTTTGCAATTTCCTGTTCATTTCCGAGACT